CTGCTGAACGAAGTAGCTGCCAAATTGGGTGGGGAAGGTAAGATCAGGTATTTTGTCCATCTTTAATTGATGTGTGCAGTTATAGAAATTCAGACTTCCCATCAAAATATCAATAAGATAACTCCAATCTTTCATTGTTGGGATGACAAACTTGAAACTTGGGTTAGCACCAACATGATCCAAGACTTTAACCCTCTAGTCAAGGCCAAATCAAGAATATACACTAAAGTTTAATTTCTACTCAATGTGTGAGCTAATTCGATAGTTTTGCATCCACTCACTAATGTGTGGACGACTCTTAACATTCACAACTTTCATTTATCAGAATATTAATTGCCAAATTTTACGGATCAGTGTACATATATAACAGTGTATTAGTTGTTCATCTTGGCTACTGGAGATTCTCTGAAGTTAAACTCTGACTTTCAGTCATGTGTTTATATGGTGTTGAATTGTCTAGAACAATAAAATCCAAGAGAATAAATCTTATCTACATCACTAAAAGTTACCTGGGTTCGCCAAAATTAGTACAAGATCAATATCAGGGTTAAGTGCTGCAACAGCCAGCGCAAGGCATGCTCCTAAAGATTCTCCAACAAGATATATGGGTCTGTTTGGTGAGTGTTCATATTCTGACTTGACTGTTTTCTCAACTATTTTCACAAGATCTGCAAGAGGAAAGTGTACAGAACAATCAATTATGCTGGAATACATCACTGAAAGTCGATATAAATTTTCTAAAAATGTAACATAAACATGTGATCCCATTTTTAACACGATAAACATGCTCTTAAACATTTTTAAAAAGTGGAGCAAAAACAAATAAACAATAGAATAGACTAATGGTTAGTGACAGAAATTTCAATATGAGCAAGAAATAGTATAATGAGGTACAGGGGAAAAAAGAGTACCTGTAAATGGTGTTCTATCCGCGACTGGAATATGCAAGCACCATATATCAAAAATCCTTCATTCAAGAAAAAAGAACAAAAAGAGTATTTCTTACATATCAGTTAATAACCCAAGAGCAACATCCAGCTAGAAGATACCTTTTGGCTTCAAAGTCATCTATCACCTAAAAAGTGCATTCCTAAAATGACAATTTACTGAATGCACTTAGGCCTTAACATTAAATGAACACAAACCTTCCCAGTTTCTGATGATGTAATATAAGTCCAAGTCCCACGCCATCAATCCCTGTAAAATTTGGAATGCAAGTTATTCACACAAAGTTATTTAAGTAACCTGGTTGTTTGGAATCATGACATAAAAAATAGTTAAGCGTAGGAAAAATCATGTCACAAAAGCGGGAAGCCAGAAACATTAAAAATTTAAAAAATGCTTATATATGTAGGGATTAAATTAAAAGCATTTTTCATTTATATAAAAAAAATCTTTTCAAATATAAGAACTTAATTGAAAAATAAGTGTCAAGAACCATAAATATATTTTACTCTAGTAATAAATTAATCAACCACATTGATGTTTCAAAATAGTGGACATGTGCAGAAGACATATATAAAAAGGTACGGCCAAAATAAAAATAAAAAAAGCTCAGTAAATGAAGACAATTGTGACCTTCAAATGGAAGAAAAGTTACAACTAAATGATGGTAAAACTTGTACTCTATGAGACCCAAATTTAAAATAGGCTGTCACATTTCGTCCCCCTATAATTCCAAATTTGCAATTTTTGTCCCTTTATTTTTAAGTTTACAATTTTAGTCCTTCAATTTTATAAAATCTACAATTTTGGTTCCTTTGTTAAATTTTTATTCATTGATCGTTAAAATTGTAACGTTAGTCATATATGACATTTAACATATGACATGACAATCAAAATTTAATAATATTCAAGCTAAATTTCAATTTTAGTTCTCATTTTTATCTCATGAAATAAATAAAATTAGGTGAAAAATAGATAAAAATGAAAACTAAAAGTACAATTTAGTTTAAATATTATTAAATATTAATAATCGCATCATCTACTTAATATTAGATCATAACTAATGTTATAATTTTAACAATTAATGAAAGAAGATTCGAGGTGAAGACCAAAATTGTGAATTTTATAAAATAGGAGGATTGAAATTACAAAATTAAAAATAGAAGCATTAAAATTGTGAATTTAATGTTATAGGAGGCCAAAAGTACAATTTAGCCTTTAAAATACAAACCTAAGATGAAGATTAAAGACAAGTTGCAACTAAGTCAAGCTAGATGACTTGAAAGGATAGTGATGGAGAAAAAGTATAACATTCGTGGGTAAAAAACAAATAAAAGAATATGTAAGCCAGAGAGTTATGAGTCTAAAGTGTCAATACATTTTCTTTTTAATTATTCTTTTGGATTCTATAATTTCACAAAATTTACTTTTTGGCCTTTATAATTAAAAATATTTAATTTTAATTCCTATAAATACCATTTTTTTCCTTAAAAAAATACCATGTTTTATATTTAATCCCTATAATTATATAAATTTTATCTTTACTTTCTATAAAAATAGATGACAAAGACTAAAAGAAAAAAAAAATAGTATATATAGGAATTCAAATAAAATGTTTTTAACTATACTGATTAAAAGATAAATTTTTTGAAATTATAAATATCAAAGAATAATTAAACCTACATTCTCGTATGAACAAGTGACTCAAGTTGGTATAGTAATTTACTCTCCCATACTCTTAGACATAAGTCCACTAACAAATTATAATATGATGTAAAAGTTTATATTTAAGAAATGACTGGAAGCCCAAACAGAGAGAGAGAGACAAAAAGACTAGCTAAAAAATTGAAAGGCGAAAAAAGGAAGAGGGGACAATTATTAAATGAAGATGGACCTGGGACCAAATAATTCAAGAAAAAGAAAATAAGCCTAGGTAATAAATACAAATAAGACTTAAAATTTCTAAGAGCTAAACTTGAAGTAGAAGCTTAGACTGAAAATTGAAGACGAGTTACTTCTGACTAGTTGGACTTGATGGAGACTGAAAAGATTTATATTAATTTTTATAATGTTACTTCTTAACTTAAAATATGGCAAACTTTTGTATTTTTTGTAATATTTTAAAATTTAAAATAGATAATTTGACGAATTTTTTGAAGAAAAACAAAAAAATTTTAAAAAAAATAGCTTCATTTTTTTTAATGAATAACTGTAGTTTATAAAAAAATATAAAAAAAAAAAAAATTACATCACTATATTATTTATTACAAAATTTACCAGTCTTTTCTATATTATGCAATTTCATTTTCAATTTTTTTTCTTTGATAGATATAATTTGAATAATTTAAGTATCAAATAAATATAATTTAAATAAAATAAAAATTTAAGATACGTTTCAAATTATATCGTTAATTTGCTCCACTTATTATTTCAAACAAAATTTTATAAATACTATGTACCAAAGAAAGAAAGTCATGGAAGTAAATTTTATAATTGTGTTAAGAGAGTAGATACAACATAAGACAGACTATCGGGGTTGGCAAAAAGACATGGACTAGATGTCGCCATTAACAATTTATAGGAAATATAGGCAGCAAGCAGGAATAAGATTTTCATTTTCACACGTATTTCCATCCTAATTAATTTCTTTTCTTTTATCCGTGTCTTTATTTTTCTTTCATCTTAATGCAATGGGGCTCTCACTTCGGTACATGTCTCGAAATTTAGTGTATGTTTAGACGAGTGATTTTAAATAAAATCGATTTTTAACATATATATGATTTAAATGTTTATTTAGTACTACGTTTGTGATCCAAGTTTCTTAACATTTTCACGTCATTACACACTAAAAGTAATTAATAGTTATTTCTTCAAATCACGTTCAAGTTGATAGATAGTGAAGCAAACACACACTAACTTTAGGTAAATATAGATTCACGTCAAGATTATCATATAATCGGAACTTCTGCTTAAACAAGACATTTTGACCTGAAAAAGCCGGAAACGCACATATCAAACATACAAGTACTCATTCATTTTGTAAAATTGATTTTGGAGTGACGTCATTAAGTTGGAGTGTTTTTATTCCAATGACATGTTAACAGTAAAACTTAATATATATTTTTATTCAATACAAAAGTTATCTAAAATTACTTTAACTCAGCATATTATTAACTTAAAATCAATTTCTAAATGTACACATCAAACATGTGAACATATTTACCTAAGTTAATATTTCAATGTGATTCTGGATATTCTAACGGGAATCTAATCACACTTGATCATTTTAGTGAAACAAAAGTAGCTAAAAAGTACTCATTTTATATCATTCAAGTCTATCAGTGTAAACACTTGATAAATATTTTTTTTTTTATTTTTCTCGTCTCTCGTTTTTCATATTATATTAATAGAGAATATGTAAAATGGTATGTTTCTAACATTCCTCTGCATCTTATTATCTTGTAAAAGACAAATTCATAATTTGAGCTAACTACTAGTACGTTAACATATGTTTTAACATATGGCAAATTGGTAGCATATCACTTAGTCAATTTTGCTATAATTATTATGATAGAAATTTAATTTATTTTATAATATAAAATCGATATTTTGTGAGTCCATGTACATTGAGTAAAAAACCACACGCTATTTTTTCGGATATATCTATACTGTATTCAAGATTATTTTTAGTAATGGTATTCAAGAGTATGAGATATTATTAAATATAAAAAAGTAGAATTTAATAATGTGACTTTTGTACTATGTCAAAAAAAAAAAGGTCCAAAATCAAGATATAGCACATAAATTTTTTATTGATTATTTACTAACATGATTTTGGTGTGGATGTGTCTTCTGTACAAAATTAAATTGAATTTAGTAATGAAAAGTTGACGACTTTTTATGTATATTATTACCTAGCTAAACCTAATTAAAGTGTTTATCTTCACTCAATAGTTAATATTAGGGACGGGCATATCCAACTCAACTTGTTAACTTGATTCGATTTGAGATTGATTTAAACGAGCTTAAGTATTGAAATTGAACCCAATGTACTTCTAGGAAGGATTTGGATTATGTTTGAATCGTTCAATTTGATTTAATATATAATATTTTTTTAAAACTATAGATTTTATTGAATTATTGTATATTAATAATAAAAGTATATTTAGTTATTAATATTTTTTATAACATGATATTAAATTTTTAATGAAATTCGCTATTTTAAAAATATACTATAAAATAATACCTTAATTTAAGTTTTACACTTTTTAATTTATAATATTGTTATACATAATGTTAAAATTAATGTAGTATATCAAAATTAGGTTGACCTAATCTTGTCTCATATTTTTGGACCTTAATCTAATCAAATTTAAGTTTTAAAAGATGGTCTCATCCAAAAAAAAAAAAATAGTCAAATTTAAATAAGGATAAACTCAGTCCAACTCAGCTTGTCCCTAGTCAATAACGTAACCTTTAACATATGTAGTAGGCCTTTCGAAATTAATTATTTTGCCCCATCTTTTGAAGTCTTAGTAACGTTACCTTGATCATATATTTTTTATCGTATATGACAGTAGCTATGTCAAAAAAAAAAAAAAAGAGTCTTAATTAAAAAAGTAAAAAAAGAAATACTTATGTCACTAATTGCAAGTAGCCATGTTCTCACAACACAATCTATACAAATTCTTTTAGACTTATTTTTTAATAGAAAGTGGCTTTTGAGCTTAAACTAGTTTGATACCCATACGGCCCACGGGCCACTTGCAGTGTGTCGCTTTATTTAATGCCATACTTATATTTTTTTTTAATTTTAACTTAAAATTTTCAGATCAATTTTTACAAGTCGGGCTAAATTAAATCAATTTATAGACACTCTTAATTTAGAGCATTATTCTTATACGTTCTTTTTCTTGAAAAAAAAAACATTTGATAAAATTCGACAATAACTTATCATTATTCGAGGACAATATTGGTTGGGTTAATATGTGGGTTTTACTTTTTAGGGTTTAACATAAATTTCTAATTTGCTCGTAGTTGATAATTTTTTTTTTATTTTCTAAGTTTATATCTTGCAACTAATATTACTACCTAAACATTATGAAAGATATATGCATATTATACTAGTATTTTAGAAAATTCCCTAAAAATTATTTCATTAAAAAAAACCTCCTAACACTTTCATTCAAAATAACTATTCTAAGAGTAAAGATTTAAAATATGTAAAATATTAGTCTGCAATAGAAAATAGTAAAGCGTAGAATGCCCAATAGCTAGTTACATTTTAAAAATATTCTTTGGGGTAGCCTAAACTAATGTGAGATACTATTATTATTATCATCTGTGCAATTAATCTAACTATGAAACATCATTTAAATTATATCTACCACATTTCTTATATATATATATATTTTTTTTTTCAAACCTTTTCAGTTAGCTGATTGAACTATAAAAATAAAAAATAATAATAAAAACTCTAAAATATTTAAAGAAAATAATCTTAACTATTTATTTATAGTTATAAATTTAATAATTGTAAAATATTTTTCTCATCACGTTTTAAGTTTTTTTTTTTTTTGTAAATAGATAAACTTTAGCATGTGTTTGGTCTAAAGACGAGGAGTAATTTTAATTATGAAGAGAGAAGAGGAATGGGAAGGGAATTAGCTGTGGTATGTTTGGGAAAAAGAAAGTAGAGGAAAAGAGTATGAAAGAGAAGAGAAGTGTTGTAAAAATTAAAAAATAAATATTATTTGATAAAGGAGAATTAAGGAAAGTTGTGTAAATATAATGAGTTAATCATATATATATATATATATATATATATATTCTCAGTGTAAATCTAATCATATCTTTTAATAGTATCATGTCATTTACTTATTTAATAAATAAAAATAAAATAAAATAATTTAAAAGATATGATTGGTTGTTAGTGTAAAAAATTTTACACCAGTAACGTATAGGTGATTAACTCAAATATAATTTCATTATAAATAATCAACACTATAACTTTCTAAAAAAAATTATTAAGAGTATAATAAAAAAAATAATAATTCTACAAAATTAATCATGCTATCGAACTTTTCTTTTTGTTATAAACAATCAACACTGTAACTTTCTAAACAAAAATTATTAAGAGTATAAATACAAAATAAATAATTAATAATGCATTCTAAAAATTATCAAAGAGAATCTAATTTAGTTGATTGAGTTATTATAACCTCCTTAGTTTTAATATTGTGTTCAATTCAATTCTCATAGTGTTATAGATAAAATAAAAAATAAAAAATAATACCTTTAATTCTAAATATAAATAAAAATTGATTTTTTTAATTATAAACAAAAATCATTATTTTAAAATTATTCAAAGATAAATTTTTTTATAAACTTAATTAGTTATTAACTTTATTGTCTATACATTCACTTGTAACTAATATTAAATATAATAATTACTTAAAATATAAAGTATTTTTAAATTTAAATTAAAATTTATAATAAAATTAATTAAAAATAATCAACTTAATTACTTTTCTTAATCTTAATTATATATCTTTGTTTATAATCGGAACATTAGATAGTAGATTATAAAATTTAAGATAACATTTATTTTTTTTGTTTTACACACATTTATTACCAGATGAATGGAGTAATTAATAATTTGCAATTAAGCATTGGTGTGTCGTTTACCCATACTATTCTGTGTATTTATGAATTGTCATTAAATGTAGAGATTTAAAAGTGGTAAGTGGCAAAAAGATCCAAAAAATAGTTAAGACAGAGACACAAAACAGCAACAATCGTGGTAAGTGGCAACCGTCGCAGACACGCATGACAAAATGAGCTCTTAAAAAGTAAACGTGGAGCATAGCTGAAAAGGGAAGAGGGAAAAAAAAAACCTAAAAAGCAAATAACAAAATATAAGCTTAAAATAATAAAATAAAATTTTAAATATCTTTCTAATCCTTAAAATTTAAAATAAATTTATTTTTAATTTTTTAAATATAAAATTTTTATTTTTAATATTTATAATTTTAATGAATTTTATTTTAAATTTTATATTTAAGTTTTATTAAAAAATTTATTAAATATTATTATATAAAATTTTTTATTAATAAAAATATTAAATTAAATTTAATTAATATTATATAACTATCTTAATTTATTATTATCGATAATCTCAGGAACTAAAATATGATTTTTTAAATTATAAAGATTAAAAATAATTATTTTAAATTTAAAGAATAAAAATAAATTTATTTAAAATTTAAAGGTTTAAAAATATATTTAAATTTAAAATAAAATAGTTAAAATACTGACCCGGCAAAGAGAGCATAAGTGGAGAATTTTCCAACCGCGAAGCGCACTCCAACGGCGAAAACCACCGCGGCGGTCCACCGTCGGCTTCGATCATTCCTTTCGAATGCTCCAAATATTCCTTCCAACCGTTCATGCGTCGCTTTGCCTTCTCTTCCCTCCGATTTTCGTTCTCCGCCACACCACTTCGTTCTTCGTGCTTCACCGCCGCCGTCGCCGCCGTGATGCGGTCCACCGACGCGGCGACGCGCGGAGCCGGAGCCTTGATCGGGATCTGGTTCGAGCTCGGTTTCGACGGCGGCTCGCGGCGGAAGGGCGCGGCGGAGAAGAGACAGGCTCCGGTGGCCGCCATGGTGGCGGAGGATTGGAATGCGAGAAACTGCGTCGGAGGAAGTTAGGAAGGAAAAAGGCGAATTAGAAATGATGAGTGTGGAAATGTTTGAATGAGGACTCAATGATTGAGAAAATGAAAATCTGAATCTGGAAGAGACAATACACATTTTGAATATATAATATTTTTAATTATATTATATTATATCACATAAGCATAACTGAAGAATTAGACATGAATTGAGCAACGAGTCTTACCTGGGTGGTGGGAGAGTCTTCGGGATGTGTGTGTTCAGTGTCCCTGTTGCGTATTTGTGCTCTGCTTCACTTGTTATTTGTTTTTTTTTTTTCACACAGAAATTACTTTTTTTTTTCTATATCATATAATTTCTCCATACAATATCTTTTAATGATTAAGATTTTTGTTTTCATTTATTTTATTTTAAAAATAAATTTATCAAAATTTATTTTATTTAATAATTTATATTTTATATTAAATTTAATAATTTAATTGTTAAATTAAGATTTTTAATATATAAATTAAGTTTGTAAATTTTAAAAAAATATAAAAATTACATGATATTTCGTTAAATATATTTAAATGAGGGTATAAAATGTTCTCATGATTATCAATTAATTTAATTAATTAAATAAAGTATTAAATAATTTTTAAATTTTTTCAAAATTTATAAATTTAATATATGTATTAAAAACTTTTGATTCTTATTAAGCGAAATAAGTATGTTAAGAAGTTCAAGACTTACTTTTGAACTAAATGAATCCTTTCTCATGTATTAAATTTAAAATTATAATATTTTTTAAAATACTTTTATTTAATATTTTAACAAAAAAAATAGTTAAAAGATGAATAACAATTATTCAATATAATATATTTGAAAAAAATTAATTTATATTATTTGAAAAGTGTAAAACATGAAAAAATTTATAAAAAAAGAAAAAGACTAAAACATTAGAAAAACTATAGACTAGTGAGAGTAATTTTTTAATATATTTTGTTTTTAATGTTTTAAATAAATTAATAAATAAAAAATACCATATATACACACACATATGTATATATAAGCTAGAATAATTTTCCTAAACGATAGTATTTTTATAATATTCTTGAGAAATATTTTTAGTATTTTTCTATAATTAAATTTTTTAGAAAAATATGCTAGCTATTTAACTTGTTTACAAACTAATTTAATTTTTTTCATTTTTTTCTTTTAAAAATGTTAATTAAAAAATTTATTTAAAACAACGTTATTATATATATATATATATATATATATAACACTAATAATGAGGATATCTCGATTTAGTGTTTTTTTTATATTTCTTTATCCTTAGATATTCTTTAATAGTTAAAGATCAAATTTGTAATCATACATTTATAACTAACACTTGTTTTTTTAGGGAAATAGATCTCTTGACTTTGGAGGGGGAAAGTTAGGGTAACTTTACACATTTAAACCATTGGATTTGTAATAGTAGATCAGATTGTGACACGTGTACATTTAAGTTAAAATATATTTTGTACATGTGTCACAATCTGATCTATTATTACAAATCCAACGATTGAGATGTGTTAAGTTACCATAACTTTGATATCTCAAAGTCAGAGGATCCGGATCCGTTTTTTAGTAAGTGCATGAAAGTTTTTAACTTTTTAGTAATTGCAAACCACCACTTTAATTATTTTTATTTTTAAACAAAAAGTATTATTTTATTTAAATAAAATTTATAAAGGCATGAAGTGTCTCAATTCCATTAATATATATAAAAAGGAGATCTTTTTTAGTGTGCACTTTGTCAAAAATAATTATATTTTTTCACTAATATATATTTAAGGATAAAATAGAAAAAGAATGTATATATAAAATAATAACTACTTTTTAAAATATATTAACTACCCACTTCTTTTTTAAAAAAAATTTATTATTAACTACCCACTTCTTGTTAAAAAATATTTTTTTTTTACGAAGGCACATGTGTGTGTGCCTTTTTTTAAAATATTAAATAAAAGAGTAATTATTAGTAGAATTTTTTTGCTTAATAATATAGGGTCTATATTAGATTTTAATAGTTCAACTGTTAAATTAAAAGTTCTTAGTAAATAGATAAAGCATATAATTTTTTTGCAAAGTTTAAAAATTATTCAATACTTGGTAAAGTAATTTTAGCAAGATTTAATCTTAGAATAAGTTAATCATTGAATTAAAAGCTTTTAGTAAATATATTAAGTTTATAAAATTTTTACAAAATTTAAAATTTATTTGATACTCCGTTATTAAGTAAAGTAACTTTATCAAAATTTAAATTAAGTGAAAGTTACTCTTAAAATAAGTGAATCGTTGAAATTTAAATTAAGTCTTAATTATTGAGTGGAGGAACTCTATCAAGAGTTAAAATAAGTGGATCCTTCTCTAAAGTCTTTAACTTTGGTCAATTAACTCCTCTTCTTGTATGAAAATTTAGAAACACTACCTATAAATTGATACCTAAAATAAGTTATTAAATATTTATTATTTTTTAATTATATTCAATGGACTTTTAAAATTTAAGGGACATTTGATACTTGAAAATTTTTTTTCATATTCATGAATTATGACTTTTGGTAATCATTTGATCAAAGATTCATAGTTCCAAATAATAACTAAAATGTATTTTGATTGGCTATAATATCACAAAATTATTTATATATGCTTTTCATTCTTTTATATAAGATTTAATTACTTAATTCAATAGAATCAAGGAAATTAATTATTCATTTTGTCCTTTTTATAAAATTCATGTTCCTTTTATAAGAACCAGCTAAAATATTTCTTGCATTAATTATTTTTTTAGGAAAAATATCATTAATTAAAGTTATTTTTCTTAATTTAAGTCATTATTGTTTGGGATAATTTTGAAAAATTACAAAATAATATTTGTCACGAATTTGATGTCATAAACTAAATTAATCAATTTTATTAATTATAGTAATCGAGTCTTATAAAAAAGGACATGAGAGTGTAATTTAGTTAATAACATTAAGTTTGTCCTAACTTTATAATTTTCAAAAAAAATATCCTAACATTGATGAAACCTTTCCTTTCCTACTTATTGAATTATGAGAAATGCATTAATCGAAGATATTTTTATAATATTAAGAAAAAACTAATGCAAGAGAAATGTTAAATTGTTTCTTATAAAATGAACCAATAATACTTTAGATTTTGGTCATATAAAAGGATCTATAAGGAGTATGTTACTTGAGAATCAAAATAATTTACTTTCAATTAAATTAGTAAATAAAGATAATATGATATTTTTATCGTAATAATTTTTTTTTGAACTTGTGACTGTTAGATTCTTACATTCCGTATTGGAACAATTTTGTAAAAAAATTTATATAATAAACATTGTTAGGAAGCAATGATTTTTAGAATGTGATTTTTTAAACAATATAATGAAATATAAAAAACTAATATTCTTAATTTTATATTTTTGCTGTGAGTAGAACTACTAGTGCAGTTGGATTTATGTCTACACCTTTACAAAGGTGTAAGGAGAGTGGGCATTAGGGACATAATGTTGTTGCATGATTGGACAAGGAAGTGACTTGCTTTAACTATCAAATGCAAGGTCACATTATGCATGGTGCCTTATTTGAAGGACGAGAAGAATGCTAGATCAAGTTTCCCAATCTAGGTGATCCAAGGCTATTAGGAATTTGAGAATCATTTATTTATATTTTAACTAAGATTAATTTTGTAACGCTGTACAATTTTGTTACTTATTGTCATTTTTATCAATAATTATATATTATGATAATTTGTGATTTGTTGTTGGGAGAACTCTAGGAATTTAGAAATTCTTAAGGAGTTATAATCGTTTAGAGAGTTTTTTTAAGTAAAGTTCCAATTTAACCCTAGAAGAAAGTATATAAGGTTTCTTTCAAGATTTGAGCTTCATAAGCTTATTTATTAAAGAACCTTAATGAGAAAGTAGAGAGAGAAGGAACTTTGCTGAATAATTGCAATTTTGTTATTGAATTGCATGAATTTGATGTTCGTTGTTGAGCTTTGGTGTCCTTGGTTTTCAAGAGAGGAATTTGGTGAATTTGAATGATCTTTGTTGCATGTTGTTATTTTTGATGAGAATTGAGTTTAGTATGATGATTGGATGTATATTGTATTACATGCTTGAAAACTTTCGAGTTTTAGGTGAATTGAGCAAAATCGTGATTCTGCCAAGTGCAAAAATTACCATCACCCTAGGTGCACCTTCATGGCGCTATATGTAACCCAAATCAAGGGTTCTCTACTCTCATCACATTGGGCGTGGGATTGGTAATGTCAAACATGAGGAAAGAGAAACATCTTTGACTTGCTAATAGTGAAAAGGGTACATGTTTGATCCAATTACAATCTCTCTACGTAGACAATGTCAGACACCAAATCAATGATATTGGGCGTGATCCAAGCAGAGGCTCTTTGCCTAAAATGAGGTTGGGTGTAGAGTTTGACCACGCCAAGTGTGAGAGAAATAGAGGCTCTCTATATCATCCATGTCAGGCATAAGTAGCTTGGCGTTGGACGTAGGCAAGCTTGAGAACTCTCTAACTCAATGATGTTGGATGCAAAAATAATGATGTCGAGCATGAGTTTCCTTATGAAAACTTGTTTGATTGAGAAAATGGTGAACATATGTAGGTTAATTAAATCTATTACATGTTGTATGTGATATGATAATAATTCTTTACATTGATCTAGGATAATGTATATAGATGGATAAATTATTAATAGTTGAATGTTGTTGAATAGTGTTGGTTTTATAAACATTGATTAGGGATAATGTTTATAGATTATTAACTATTGAATTGTTAAGGCAATGGTGCAAATAATGGTTGAGGTATTAGGGCATCAAGGTGTGTTGTGTTGATTGACTTAAGATTAAAATAATAATTTTTCAAAAGTTGGGTATCTCATTGTGAGGATATTAATGTGGAGCTCTACGAGCCTAGTTGTTGAAAACCCTTCTTGAGTAGCTAACTTTTGAGGTGGATAGTTGAGTCTTCTCTAGGACCTTAGTTGATGCGGTATGTGGGTAAAGTTGAGGCATACTGACTATAAGTGACCATAGAATAGGGATAAGGTTGA